GTTCGGCGAGGGTGCTCAACTACCCCCCAACATGTTGAAGTTCTACGAGGAGAAAGTTAGTCTCCTAATTCCAGGAGTCACTCTAGCCGACTTGGAGCATGGTCAGCACCGTATCGCCAGACTCATGGGGATGCCGCGTAAGGTTTTGGTGAAGCCTAAACATGTCCACTACCGAATCATTGATCACCCCGTCCCCAACTTCACCCCTCTACTCGCTAGCGACTTGGACCGACTCCTTAATCGAGATATAGCACACATGGATGACTTCACAGACGGACTGAAGATCATCACACCTAAGGCTAACATCGACCGATCAATCGACCGATCAATCGACCGATCAATCGACCGATCAATCGACCGGGACAAGGACGAGCGTGTTTCTCAAGACGTGCAAGTTCGTCAAGACGTGCAAGTTCGTCAAAATGAGGAAGTCAATGACCAACAGGCGAAAAATAATCCACAAATTAACAATGACCAAGGTGTAATGGCTACCGACCAAGGGGCTGACGAGGTGATGACTGGTAACGAGGTGATGACTGGAGTTGACGACGAAGGGGAAGGCGCTTTGCTTTTCTCCTGCACACTTCCCCGAGGGTGTTATTTGACGTGTTTGTTGCGAGAGTTATTGGATGCCGAAAGTATTGACGCAATCTGCGCCAAGCGTCAATGAACCACTAAGCTATCCCGGATTCCGTAACTATCCGGGATTTGGTAACCTACCTTCCTTCCTTCCTTCCGTGACATCTATCAGGTTGGGCCAACGGTGGTGCAGGTGCAGGTAGAATGGGGGAATTGTGTTGGGGATTATGGCCTCGGGTTCCATTGCGTGATTATCATGATGAAGATCTGCAGTGTTTAATGGAATGTATTTTGCCAATGGTATTTTTTGTCACATGGCTGACAACGGGTTGTCTCGCAATAATGTTTGCGGTATATGACCTACTCGACCACCAGGATTCCGGTTTACGTGAAACACTCCTCCCGAAATATGACACCCACATTCGCGCACATGACATCACGGAAAACAACAACGACTTAGTGGGTGGTGACCCTCTTGCCGGAGGATGGCTTCAAGGCGATCATCTTCATGACGGCCGTCTTAACAGACCCGCGCAACAGGAACTACCACCCACGCACATCGTCACCATCGAACCAGCCCTTCACACTGCTACAACAACTAAGACCACAATGGCCTCCCAAGCTGGACCAGTTTTCGGTCACGACGGAGCCTTACAACTGGAAACTATCACACGAGCGAATAGACAAAGACGCGCACCAACTCCTAACTCTCTTCTCCATGGCCTGCTAAGTTCCTCCGAACCACTGACGAGAATCGATCGACGAACCTAGAGATGTCAAGCGCTTCCACTAAACCATTGAACCACACCACCGCTTCATATGTTCTGCCACATCTGGCCAGCCACATCTGGCCAGCCACATCTGGCCAGCCAGCTCTGGTCAGCCAGTTCTGGCCAGCCAGCTCTGGTCAGCCAGCTCTGGTCAGCCAGCTTTGAAATTTATTGGAGTGTTCGCCGCAGTACTTTGGTTACCATCGCTAGTCGGTTGGGCTTGGGAGCATGCCATGGTAGGCGGCGTGAAGACGTTATCCCGATGGAGACAGTCTAACCAGGGCACCTTCTCACGGTTGATCGCCAGCGCTTCTGGCATCGGGTCGTCTTCTTCGAATACGTCGGGACACATTACCTTGATTTGGTCAAAGACACTTCTATAATTCACGGCCATGAGCTCGCTATAGGACAACAGGTCAGCTTCCTCAGATCGGATGTTGGCTTCTAGCTCTTTATACTCCTTCATCATCATGGCCTACCGGGATGGGTGATAGTGAAGGGGCATCAATCACTAACGACAAATGCAGGAAAGATATGTTTGTGACGGGAGTAGAGAAAGTACTCTAGATTGCAACATTTCTTTCAAGGTGTTGGACATCCTTCCATTGGACTGTTTTTGAAAAGTATGCAAGAGAATCTGATGATCCTTTTCATCGTCTTCCTCTGTGGCCAAAACGTGTTCTGATTTGCAGGCCTCTGGAGTCATGGCATTAGGGGTCATGGAATTATGTTGTTCTTGAGTGTGCTGTCCTGTGGTACCGAATTTCAATTCTGTAGATACCTCGGGTCCTTTCATTCGTGGGGTCATGGATGTAGTTTTCATATCGGTCTTCATACCGGTAACTTTTTTTCCCCGTCCTGGACCCGGGAGCATGAGTAAAAAAAATGGGTCGTCGGGTTCCACTGAAGTCGTGGAAACTAAAGAACCGGAATAAGCAACCGGAGAAGGTTGGCCGAGGCCTGAAGCAGGTTGCGGAGGTACCGGAAAATAGCTTGTCAGAAGCGCTGGCGGCGGTGGACGATGAGGAATGGTTGAAGTACGGCGCAGAGGACGTGGTCGATACTGATTTGGTATTACATCATCTGTGGGACAGTAAAGCAGCTATCCCGAAGGCACTCTTGGATATGAAACTGAACCTCGATAGTCCGGCTGAGGAACAACTGGCAGCGGACATGACGGCTGACCAATCCATGACGGCTGACCAATCCAAGTCGTATTTTACACCGACTCTAATGCTCTCCACAGGGACAGGTTCGTCACTGACGCAGTTGGACTCTGTGGTAGTAGTGGGTCGCGTTTGGTCGGAGAGGAATGTCAGGGAATTATTCGCGTGCTTGCGACCGTTGGTTTTGTTGACATTGCGTTGGTATGCCGCACACGAGTTTCCGTTGTTCGAAGAGTCGGTAGATTTGGCGATGGCAACAGAGTTATTGCTGTCATGGCGTTGGCTTATTGTGTTAGAGCAAGTTGTGCAGCAGTTGGAATCGGAAGGTTTGTTACGCAACCCATTGGAGAAGTGTGCGTCAAGTGTTGCGGCCGTGTATCTCAACCTCCTATTGGCCGTATCCCATCACCCAGTTGGGACCAAGTTCGCCTGTGAGATAGGACAGCGACTCGTCAGGCTCTCGGCGGCTACAGACAAACTCGTGCCGCTAGGCGTGCCCGTCATTCGTCTCACGTACCTCGCCCTGGCCCAACTGCCCAGTGTCAAGGAACAACCACGAGTCATTGCACAACCCACCGCCGCCACGACCACCATCCTGCGCACGTCGTCCATCAAACTCTACGGCAACTCCGTGGACAAGAAAGCTGTCGACAACAAGACTATCGATAAGACGCACGAGCTGGAGACCTTAAACGCTGCCGTGTCCCTCCTCATCGCATACGTCCATCTCCTCCACCTTCACCCTTCCTTTTGCGAAACGGCCATCGTCTTCCACTCACAGTTGAAAAGACTCGCCCGAATAGCCGACAGAAAACAGCTCGCCTCCAAGGTGGCCCAAACTCTGAAAACTTTGGGTCACGCCATAGAGACCGCCAGCAAGCAAATCGAGACCGCCAGGGCAGACCTTGACCCCACACTGCTCAGCGCCCGCATTGAAGTGTTCAACGCCAAACAACGCCGCTCTTGGGGCATCGAACCTCTGTTCACGAAACGGAACAAATCATCAAGGCTCTGTTTCCCACCGAGAGACGCACCCACACAGACCACGACCGCGAGCATATAGCGGAGTATACAGCGGCCCGTGTAGTACAGAGAAATTTAGCGCACGAGGCCAGCCATCATATAGCGTTCAAATCTTGAAGATTTTTGGGAAACAAAAACGATTAGAACATGAGTCTTGCCGGCGGTGAGACAAGAATGGCGTAACGTCGACCGCGTCCGCAAATCAGAAACATCGCGCAGAGTCTCGCTGTCGACCATGTCGTGCTCTTAGTGCGCGATTTTGGACTAACGTCCAAATCAGCCTTATCATCTGCCTTCTCGCCTCAATAACCCCCGGGGGGCCTCCGCTCTTCTAGTACAACGCCTAATTTTAATAATGACCTGACTAACTTTCCGGTCTTCCTTTACCTGTCTGACCGGCTAGCACAAATACACACACGCGTGCTCACCGGAGTCACCTCAATGGGCACGCGCAAATTACTTCTGGCCAGTTACTTCTGATCTGTTTCGACTTCCGATCCTGTGCCAGGCTTGCCCGAGGGGGTTACCGCTCGACGGTTGCTTTCTGAGAGCTATTTTCCGAGGGGTGGGCCGTAAATTACCCTTCCCTTCCCTTGGAGGTTACCCCTCGGGTTATCGTAGTCCAGCCAGCCAGGACTTCTTGTTCTGGACCGTGCCAGCATCGATTTCTATGTCGAGATTTTCTCCCTTAAGGATGAGGGAGGTGGGCCCGCTGGAGGTCCAGTGCACGATCTTTGCCTGCAGGTAGTGGAGGCGGGTCACGGGTTCGAAAGTCAGTGCCTCATGCGGGTCCTCTTTCACGATGGCCAAGGTGTTGTGGCCACAGAGGATGCCGTAAGCGGCGAAACTCTCTTCCTCTTCTCTGCTCCTGGCGTCACCGCTACCGCGAACCGTCCCGCGACCACGGCCGCTACCGCTACGCCCGTCTCGGGCACTGACCCCGTCTCGGCCGCTACGGTCGGTCAGTTTGGCAGGACTTTTCACAAAGAGCAGTTTAGAGCAACAACTCCAGGAGTCGTCTTGAACAACGGAGCTTCGCCGCGGCGGCTCAGGCTGACCTAGTTTGACCAACAGTGCGCCCCAGACGCGGACGCCACAGGATTCGACGAGGTCTTCAGCGGGGCCGTTGATGATCGCTAGAAGTCCTTCGACCTTTGCGACCACACGCGAAACGGCAGCCTCGGCGCTCAATGCCACCAACCAACGCGGCGGCGGAGGTGTGGGGGGCGTATTGGACCTTTGCGGCGCCGGCTTCGCCGGCTCCGCCGGTGCGGCGGCCCCGCCGCCGCCACCGGACTCTGCGGAACGGGGAGCGGAGTGGTTCTCTTTAACGTCCTGGGCGTCGAGTGCTCGACGTAAGGCGATCCATTCCTTGATATAACGCGGAGGACGGCTGGTACGCTGGCCGTATGTATCTGGTTCGCGGGAAATGAGTTCCGCTGCGGGTTCGGTTTCATCGGCGAGTTGCGTGGTGGCAGCGGTATCGACATAGTCGAGTGCGCCGCCTCCCACGGCGCCTACGGAGTCTAGTCCACGTGTGGTGGCGGCGGTGCTGCCGGTGGTGGCTGCAGGTCGGTTGCGTCCCGCCTTTCGCGGTGGCGGCGTTTCGGGTACTTCGGAGATGAGGCGGCCGCTGAAGGCCTCGCCGACATTTGGAGTGAGTTCCATGCTGGAGGTGTCCTCGGATTGGCCTCGAGTGCCGAAGAAGGAGATGATGGATCGTTCGAGACTGAAGGGATCTACATCGGCGGGACAGTATAGTGGCATGCCACGGAATGCGGCATGTTCGAGCGGGTCCTCCAGGATAAACCTCTCCCGCACTTCCGGGCTGGGGTGCAACAAACGATAGCACAGATCGAGCATGTCACCTTCAACACGCAATTCGCTCTTCAGATCCAACAGATACTGTCCCTTCTTGTACTTCACAATCGCATCTAATACCTCATCCGTACTACCGCCCTGGAATGGTAACACTCCCGTTATCATAAACACCAACACACAACCCACTGCCCATATATCACCCGCAAATGGACGAGCCTCTACTCGGTCTCCATACAACCGCTCCATCACTACCTCGGGCGACCAGTATACCGGCGTACCAACCAACTCGTCTTCCCCCTCACCTTCCCCCCTCCCCCCACCATGTGAACCTTTTACATATTCACTCCGGCGTCCTCCACCGCCACTGCGCCCACTCCGGTAGTCCACCACATGGTCTCCCCCTCGGCTGTCCAAACCTCTGTCGCGGTCACGCTCCCGGTCGCGGTCACGCTCCCGGTCGCGGTCACGCTCCCGGTCGCGGTCACGACCATCCAGGCCACGGACGTCCAGACCTCGATCGCGGGTGTCCAGGCCACGGTCCAGACCTCGATCGCGGGTGTCCAGACCTCGGTAATCCAGGACGCCTGTGCTGCGGTGGTCGCTCCGAGCCTCGTTGGTCACCGTGGCGGAGGCGAAGTCGATGATCTTGATGTCACCAAGCTCAATCATCAGGTTCTCCGCCTTTATGTCACGGTGGACGCAGTTATGCACCATGAATGTGCGCAACAACGCGATTAGCTGACACGTCCACATCTTGACCAGTGGCAACGGCACCACCGGCGGCCCTCGCACACAACCCAACCGCGTAACCAACTCGAACAACGTCGGCCCGCGCATGAAGTCGTAAACGTAGTACAGACACCGCTGGTCCTGAAAACAGCCCTTAAGACTGCATACGTACGGATGTCCACGCAACAAAGCGTGCACCTGCAACTCGCTACTCAGCAAACGCCGCAGCGCGTGGTTGTTCGCCAAACGCGTCTTCCGCAGAAACTTCACCGCGTAAAGCCGATTCCGACGTATACACTTAAATACCTTCGATGACGACCCCTCACCTAATAGATCTAGCACTTTGTACGACGTTATCGTACCATGAGGAAACCTAATAACAAAACAAAACGTGAACAACACACTCGCGCGTGCGCGTGTGTGCACACGTGTGCAGGGGCCGTAACTGGCGCGGGGCTGGCGGGTACTTGTCTGGATCTGAGTTGCGGCTTTTCGGACGGCGTTTCCTCGCGTCGATCATAAAAAATATTCACCGCAGCGGGCCCCCACACATGGCGCTAAAGAGCAACCGGCGGGGCTTCAGCATGCGCCGCTTCGAGACCGTGCTAATAACACACGACTCGTCCGCCGCAAACCGGTCCAAGGACGCCGAACGCCGCTGCTGCTTCCACGCCCCAACCGACTCCTCCTTCGCTGTCGAGGAGGAGTCGCCCGCCGGCGACGCAGACACCTCCTCCTCTGCCGCCTCTTCATTCTTACCAGCGTCCGAAACACTACCAGGCAGCGCTTCGCCAATTGCGGTACCAGTCGCTGAGCCAGTCGCTGCAGCCGCGGTTGTGCTAGCGGCAGCCGCGGTTGTGCTAGCGGCAGCCGCGGTTGTGCCAGCGACAGCCGCAACTGTGCCAGTAGCACCCGCAACTGTGCCAGTAGCACCCGCAACTGTGCCAGTAGCACCCGCAACTGTGCCAGCTGTAGCGGACATGCCCGGCGAATAATTGAAGTGGTACTTCACGGTGCTGCCGGGAACTTCGAGAGAGCTGTATGTCGCCCCCAGCTTCGTGGAGCCCAAACTGCTGGGGTGCTGAGTCAGGCCGGTCGACTGCACTTGAGAGTACCCGGTCGTGTACGGCGAGAATCCGCTGCCGGTGTAATAGCCGGATGCATAACCGGGATTAGCCACATACGTGGAATAGCCAGCCGCATATCCTGCACTGGGGTTACCCGCCACATACTCCGTTCCATACCCCGGACTAGTCATGTACCCCGAACTGCTCGTCAGGTGCCCCGAACTGCTCGTCAGGTGCCCCGAACTGCTCGTCAGGTGCCCCGGACTTAGAGCTCCGTACCCCGAACTAGTCGTCCCATATCCGGGACTAGTCCTCACGTACCCTGGAGCGGTTGTCAGGTGTCCCGGACTGGCCGTCAGGTGTCCAGGATGGATTGCCCCGTACCCCGAGCTGCTCACCACGTACCCCGGACTGCTCGTTAGATACGCGTGACTCGGCGAGTAGCCAGACGCCCCGCCGAGCAAACTTCGACCGACAGGACTGGTGTAGGTTCCGCCAGTGCCTGCTGCGTGGGACGAGGTCGGGCGGTGACCTTGGTAACTGGTCGTGGCCCTAGTATAGGTGGCTGTCGGGTAGGTGGTGGCGGCCCCAGTATAGGTGGTGGTAGCCCCTGGGTAGCTGGTGGTAGCCCCTGGGTAGCTAGTGGTGGCCCCAGTATAGGTGGTGGTAGCCCCTGGGTAGCTGGTGGTGGCCCCTGGGTAGCCGGTGGCCGTGGTCGTGGGGTAGGCGCCGCTACTATACGTGGTGGTGGCTCCAGTATAGGCGGTGCTGGCCGTTGGGTACGCCGTCGGGGCCGCTGAGTAAGCCGTCGGGGGCGTGCCGACAGAGGAGTAGCTGGCCGAGCGCCTGGCGTCGTACAGACTCGGCGAAGGGTACATAGCCGCGGAGGCAGCGGGGGAAATCGAGCCTCCGATCGAGCCCCCGATGGAGCTCCCGATGGAGCCTCCGACGAAGCCCTCTCGCCGCATTTTCGCGTCCTGGTAAGCCTTCAGCGGCGAGGCAGACAACGTGTAGCTCGGAGGCGCGGCTCCGTCACCCAGTCGCGCAATTGTGTGCCGCGTTGCGCCCACCTCCCGCGCGACAGGCGTCGCAATCGCCGAGCACGAAAGCGTCGGCTTGTGACTTAATGTCGACCCCACCGCGAAGTACGAGGCCGGCAGGTACACCGCGCTGGGCACCGATCCGCCAGAGGACGCTGCACTCGCGCCTCGCTCCACGCTCCGGTAGCCACTGCCGTCCCGGAAGGCCCCCGTGTCCCGGAAAGCGCTGTCGCCTTCTCGGAAGACGCCGTCTCCATATTGGATCCGCGGGAGGCACTCTTTCTGGAGCAGTTGTTCGCGCACGTGTGTGAAGCTCGCGGCCGGCGCGGGGCGGTCGAGGGTCACGGTGGTCGCGCCGTCGCGGGCCACGGCGCTACCTGCGGCGGCGGCGGCGCTGCCACCGGAAGCGGACTGGACGGAGCCGGATTGTGGGAAGCCGATGTGCGCAGCGCTGGGCATGAGGGGCGGGCGTTGTAGGAGCGGCGTTTCTGCGGAGACGCCGCGGGCGGAGAGGCGCTCGCTGTGGTCGGAGAGACTGCGTTCCGGGGGTCCGGAGAGTCCGCGATCCGGAGGTCCGGAGAGCCCGCGTTCGAGTTCAAGCTCCGGTTCGGGCTCCACACGAGGACAGGCAGCACCGACCTGCGTGACGACCCAGGGGTGCGTTTCGCGTGCGCTTTCGAGTGTATGCGTCTCCATCTCGGGGACTGCACTGCGAAGGAAGACGCCGTCCAGCGGCGCAGCGTCAAGCAACGCAAGCGTAGCCGCGGCGTCCGCGGGCGCAAGCATCGGGTCGCTCGACGGCGCCGTGTCCTCATCGGAAGCGTAACCCAACGCTCGCCGCGGCCGACTCGAGGAACCCGAAAGCACTGTCGGCGACTGAGGCTCCGTTGGCGACTGTGCACCACTAAGACTCGCCTCACACTCCACCGCCCTCCCATCCTCGCAGGTACGCGACACCTGCGGTGTCATCTCATCCAACAACAATTCCGGCGATCCAAAACACTCCAGCGACTCAATCTCGCATTCGTCCGCTGCTGCCGCACAACCCTCCCCAGCCGCCGCCGTCGCCCGCCCGCCATCTCGCGACGACGAGAGCGAGCTAGCATACGGCAGCGCGTCAGACGACGCAGACAAAAGATCCGACGAACTCGGCACCACCAAGTTACTCGCCGAACCGAATATCGAGTCGTCCCCCGCCAGCGGCCGCTCTGCTGTGTTGTCCCGACTCGGAGGCTCCCCGTTGCCGCCCGCCTGGGTGCAGGCTTTGTCCGGCCACTCCTGCTCGCTCAAGTCCCCCTGTTGACTCAGCTCTTCCTGTTGGCTCAACTGATCCTGTTGGCTCAACTCTTCCTGTTGGCTCAACTGCTCCTGTTGGCTCAGCTCCTCCTGTTGACTCAGCTCTTCCTGTTGACTCAGCTCTTCCTGTTGGCTCAGCTCTTCCTGTTGGCTCAACTCTTCCTTTTGGCTCAACTCGTCGCACTCCGGATAGGAGGCGTGGTAGCCGCCGGCTTCCACGTTGTAGCCGGGGGTCAAGCCGTGTTCCTGGTCGCCGGCCAGGTCGGAAACGCTAGAGACGATGCTTCCGACCTCCTCCGCAAACGCGGCCTCTTGGGACCCGGACAGGTCCTGCTCAGGTGCGTCGGCCGCCTGGTCCCGCACCCGCTGGGTTCCGACTCGCTGCGTTCCGACTTGCTGGACTCCGTATCTCTTCGCGCTGCCCATTTCTGACCCGCTGCGTCCAGAATCGCGTTGTTCCAATCCACTCCATGGATTTTCTCTGCCTGCTCGGCCGCAGCTTGTCGGGTTGCCCACGCGGCCGGAAGGAGTCCTGCGGTGCACTACCGAAAAAAGAGCGTCTCGGCTTCCCGCGGACACGTCTCTACTTCCGACCGACGCGTCTCGGCTCCGGCTCCCCGCATCCCGGAACGAGTCTTGCGGTGCACTACCGGAAGCCGTTTCCGCGTCCTCCTCATCCTCGTCGAACTCCTGAATTATCAACGGCAACTCATCGTCAAAGTCTTCCGTACGGTCATCTTCCTTCGTCTCATTAGTCGCGGGACACCGCATAGCTCGTTCCCCAATACAATCAGTTTCCCGAGTGGGCATTTTTGACGAACCAAAATTAGGCACTTTAGATCGCTTGAACGCGCCTACTGCACCTCTCCGGCCGCCTCGTCCCTTTCGTCCCATCCGATTTTTAAAAACACAATCCCCCTCACAGCCACGCGCCTTCTTCATCCGACTCCTCAACCCCAGACTCGTCCCCGGAGACCTCCTCCCGGCAGCCGGACACCTCCTCAAGTCCATACGCAGCGGCAATGTTCTCTTGCAGGCGCCCCTCCAACTCCTCCCGGACCCCCGCACTTAGTCGCCACGTCACAGGCTTCACGGCCTTGTCCTTCGAACCCAGGACACTCAACCACTCCTTAAACATCACGCTATCCTGCTCCGGAACCAGCGGCCCGAACTCCGCAAGCAGTGAGCCGGTACTCACGCCCGCTTCGCCCGCGCCGTAAAGATAGCAACACAACTAAAGGCAAACACATGCGACTAGCCGTCTCCACCCCGTGTTCCCACCAACGACCTGCTTCCCACCGGGCCTTACTTTGACGAATAATTTGCGTTGCGTGTCGTTGAGGCGAAGCGGAACAAAATTACCAATGCACTTGCCAATCCGCTCTTCCTTCATGCTCATGGACAACGTGGCCAGGTTGAGGTGGATCGGCTTGCCGGCCTGGCCGTGACGGCCGGTCCAAGTGGGTACGTTCCAGGAGTGCGCGTCTCGGTCTCTTCTGCTCGTGACGAGCGCGCCATAGGCTTTGTAGGCGTAGCTCGCACGGTTCTCTGAAGTCAGCCGGATGACAATCGACTCGTTCACCAGTCGCTCGTGCTCCTCCACCGAGTTGATAGTGCCCGCCGAGCACAGCTCCTTCAGAAGGTCCTCTTCGCCGCCGGTCTCGCCCTCCCCGTCGTCGGACACCTCTCCAGTGCTGCTCGACTCCTGGCGCGCAACTGTAGCCAACGCCGCAGTGTCGTCGTCAGGCAGCAAGCCTTCCTCCTCCTCGTCCAGCTTCCTTTTCTTCTTGTCGCTTCTCGACCCACTGCTCCCCGGCTCACTGCTCCCTCTTTTGGAAACTTTTCTCTTGGCTCTTATTTCACGTTCCAGCTCTGCCTCGTCCAGCACCTGAACACCAGACACTTCTTCGTCAATTTCACCCGCTGTTGGGAGACTGGGAGCATCTCCCGGCAAACCCACAAGTGTGGAGGATGAGATCGAGGACACAGGGTCACCAGACGCTTCCTCCCCACTAGCCGAGTGCGCGAAGGTCCCAGGCGGAGTAAGGAGTGGGGTAGCTGGGGCCATCTCACTAGGCGTAGCAGGGGATTGGTCCACGGGCGACAGTGAGTTCGACGGACACGGCTCGTCCGGTAGCATGGACACCGAGTCCCTTTCCAGCGGCTCTTCCTTGTCCTCCTTTCCATAATCCGCGAAAATGTCCGGTCTCTTCAACGCCTGAACAAATTTCTGAAGCAAGTCACCCGGTAGCGGCGCCTGAGAACCGGAGTTGGCAGGCTGGGGGGGATGTGCGAACATTTCTATGAAATCGTTTGGCTTGAATACTTTGTCGTCCTCATTCTTCAAAATCCTGTTAGCTATGTGACTCTTGTATATTTGGCGTTTGTATATTTTCTCCTCAATGGTGTTTTGGCAAATGAGACGATAGACCTTTACATCGCTGTTCTTTTGGCCGATGCGCCAACATCTTTCTTGAGCTTGGGCGTCAACACTCGGATTCCAATCGGGGTCAAAGATGACGACGCGATCTGCTCCGGTCAAATTGATACCCAGACCGCCAACTCGCGTGGTCAAGAGCATGCAGAAAACTGAATTATTCTCGTTAAAATCATCTATCAATGGTATCCGCTGCTTTACCGGTACAGTTCCATCGATCCGGTAATATTTGAATGGCGCAGCTGCTGGCAGCACACGTGTGTGCGCGGCGCTATCTTGGGCAGAATTCGGAACAGCCGCAGAAGCGTTGAGGGTGATAAGGTGTCGTTCGATAATGTTCAGTGTTTGAATTCTCTGGCTGAATATTAAGGTCCTATGTCCTCCTTTCTTCCAGGTTTTAAGCAGTTGAATTAGAATCTTTAATTTTCCTGACCTTTCAACGTTGCCATAATCTGCTGGCTTTCCGACGGTGCGCAGAATGAGATCTGGATGGTTGCATAGCTTAATGAGCATGGATAGGTAAGCTAGAGCTTTGGTAATCGAGTTGCCGGCCCCGAAAGGATTGCCTTTACTCCTGGCATATGCTTGGGCCATTTGTTCAGAAACCTTGTGGATGGTTAGGAACGCGCAGTACACTTGATACTGAGCCAGCGTGAGGGGACATAGCAGTACCCTTTCCGTCTTTTCTGGTAGGTGGAGTTTGACCTGTCCCTTGGTTCTCCTGAACAAGTGGGGTAGGACGAGTTGTTTCAAAAGACTGATACATTCACGGCTCTTTTGCCGTTCATCATCTGCGACGTAGTTCTTGCCGGCGCGGTCGATGGGAAACACAAAATACTTCTTGAATGTAGGTAGCGTGCCCAGTAGACCGGGATGGACAAAGTCGATTAAGCTCCAAAATTCCGTCAGGTCATTTTGAAGTGGGGTACCCGACAAGACAACCCTGTTTCTGATATCCATTGATTTAACCGCCAACGTCAATTGCGAGTTGGGGTTCTTCAGCTTATGTCCTTCGTCCAGGACTCCGAGAGCAAACGGAACCTTCCGGAAACGGGCCTGGTGCCTCCTCAAGAACTCATAGGTCGTTAGATATATACCACCATCATACCTTAGGTCATCCAAGCGTCGACTACCACCAACCTGTACCGCGTCTGCTTGTCGATGTTTTGTTAGATATTTTGTTAACGCCTCACCAGAGGTGATCATGTACACGTTGGATTTCAATGGCGGATAGAAGTGCTCTATCTCCTGTTGCCACTGAATCAGCAACGTAGCAGGACACATCACAAGGATTGCATACTCTGAAAATAACTTCAAGTGCGCGCTCATCTCCTTGTAAACGACATGGCAACATCGGGCTTCCCGAATTAATCCTTCTACAGTCCCTTCTAGAGGGCGGCCACATCTAGCTGCCATGCACTCGTCACCTCCCGTGCAATCTGCTACAGTAATTCCTTGCATTAACGCATCCCATCTGTCTGTTAACGCTACTGAACCGGAGTCAAGAAGCGCCGCAATTAACGCAATGGCCTGTAAGGTCTTTCCTAAACCCATCTCGTCCGCTAGTAATGAGCCTTTATCTCCTATGTAGTTATTCAGAAGCCACTTCACACCTACCTAATATCTTATGGTGCTCACATATCTCCTAACCTACTTTTTGGTAGTCATGTAAGGTATCCCATACGCTGGTGTTGATTCTAAATTGTTCTGTTAAAGATACTGTTGGCATTCATATAAAAATCATTCACAATGTCCACACTAGTTTAGCCAAGTTGACCAAAAAGGATTGCGCCTCGTTGAAGTCTACGAAAGAACAAGTGTCTAAGTGCGCGTCCAAGTGCGCGTCCAAGTGTGTGTGTGTCTAAGTGTGTGTCTAAGTGTGTGTGTACTGAAGCATGAGTCGCCATAAACTCTGTCGACAAACTCGATGGGTACGTTGGCGATTTTAGCTTGCATTTTGGTAGCTCTCAAGATTGCCTCGCATTGGAAAGAATATCCAACGCTGTTCATTTCTTGGCATATCCTTTTAAGTACGTCCCTTCGATAAAGTCTGAAGCTACCGGTAACATCCGTGGCTGGTGGAGAGAATAAGGCGGCGACCAGTTGGTTGCTGAGGCATGAGATAAGTCGTCTTTTCAGTGGCCAGCCTATAACACCTCCACCATTAGAATATCGCGTACCCGAAACTATATCGTAGTCACCTTCCTTCTGCTTCTTGATCATTTCCACAATGTGCCGCGGCTGATGCGATAAGTCTGCATCCAGTATTATAACGAAGCTTCCACGCACCTTTTCCAAACCCGCTATATACGCTGTTCCAAGACCCAATTTACCGGAGCGCTTCACAATACTCATCTCCACCTCGGGAAATACCTTGATATCAAGCTCTTCAAACACTTTGGCCGTTCCATCGGGAGAGTTGTCATCCACTATCAATATTTCGTAACTAGGCTCCTGACTAAACAACCTAGTTACGTTGACGGATTGTTTGGTGCGGCTTATTTGCCTTAGGGCATACACGGCAGTAAACCAAAGCGACGCAACAAAACCGGCAGGTGATTGAAGGGGATTGAAGGGGGATTGAAGGGGGGGATTCAGGGGATTGAAGGGGGAGACCAGTACTCGCCTTAAGGCTCTCGCCTTAGGGTTCCCCCAGGGAAGCAGACAGTGGTGACTCCTAGACGGCGGGAAAAAATCCCAGACGGCCATAGATGGTGTGGACATTACGCTGTTTTGAATGCTTCGACAATTTGGTCCACTAGGATGGGTAAATTCTCTGCTTCATTATATGTGGCTACTAGTACTGTGTAAGTAGGCGGTGAAGGTATCATGAGTTTTTACGTGACGAAAAAAGACAAGTGTGTTTCAGTGGGTGTGGCAATAAACTGCTTGGTTCTACGGGTGTGTTTGAGAGCCAGCCAGCCAGCCCCTTCATTGTTTCGTGGCTGCTACCCGTGAGTGAGTAGCAATTCCGTTTTGCCTCGTTTTTTTTGGGCGCGATTTTGTGGCTGTAGGTTCCCCATGGTCGCTGTAAGTATCTTTTTCACGGCACGTCCCGCCTGAATGACCCTTCGCAACATGAGGAGGCGTACCCCTGTGCGGGACTTTCTAGCGAGTGTTCTCTAGGAGATGTATTGTATTGTAGACAAATCTCCGCGCTACAAAGAGGCTAGCCGCTGCTGTGTTGAAGTGCGGCAAGAACCGTGTGTTCTTGGACCCGTCTGCCTCTCGTGCTACGGTGTTGCAGGAAGCAGGTTCTCGTGCGCAGGTTCGTTCGCTGATTGGACGTGGTGCGATCTTGAAGAAGGCGGTTAAAGGCAATAGTCGTTACCGCTGCCGAGTATACCGGGAGGCGAAGAGAAAGGGTCGCCACATGGGTCTGGGTAAGAGAAAGGGAACACGTAATGCCCGTTGCTCATTCAAGTCGCAATGGATCCGTCGTATCCGACTTCTCCGTCGTGTACTCCGCAAGTACCGTGCACAGAAGGTCATTGACTGTCACACATATCACCAGTTCTACCTCAAAGCTAAGGGCAACCAATTCCGTAACAAGAAGGTCCTCGTAGAGGCCCTCTGGGACGCCAAGAACGCTCAGAACAAGGAGAAGCTTCTTGCCGAACAACGTGAAGCACGTCTTGCCCGTGCTGCCGCTCGTAAGGAGAAACTGGCCAAGAAGGAAGCTGCCGCCCTCGCCGCCACCCAGGAGTAATTTTTTCAACCAACCAGCGACCACCTCTCACGCCGCCAGGGCTACCGCAGGCCGCGGGGTAATAACACGTGGTAAAAGTTCTGCACGTGGTAACCACACAGAGGGTTCTTCATTACACAGAGTTTTACGTGACATACAGAGTAATACATTTGAAGCATGGTGCGAGATGCGGGAGCGATCAGGATCCAGTTGCACGACTTACCTGCGCTGCCTAGTCACACGGCGGGTGGAGTACTGGGTGGATGGCTGCAATCTTGGCTTGGATTACCACTGTTAAAGACCAGCGAGTTCGTCATTCTGCTAACGGTTGGGATTCCAGCAGGTCTGATGGCGGCCAACAACGTTGATCTGGCTTCCACGTGTGTGACGGTAGTGGTGTTATTCAGCAGTACTCTGGTGCTTCTTGACTGGATCTACAGCGGCTTCCGGAAGGCGACCAAGACCTTCTTCACAGATTTTCCCGTACATGGCGTGGCTTCACTTGGGAATAATATGGTCGCCGTCTCCGGCGGTGGAGGCGGCTTAAGCTACGGCATTCCGGACCAGTGTGCCATCGTGCACTTGTACCATTCCCGGCTGGTAGAAACCATCAACTCGGCTCCCAAAACTTGGGCTTGGACCGCCGGCAAGACTTGGACTTCCGGCAAGACTTGGACTTCCGGCAAGACTTGGACTTCCGGCAAGACTTGGACTTCCGGCAAGACTTGGACTTCCGGCAAGACTTGGACTTCCGGCAAGACTTGGAATGCCGGCGAGACCTCAACAAATGAGAGAACCTCTTCCGGCAAATTGGCGGGATTCAATATGCATGTGTTCAATTCAGGCTCTCATGACCCGCGCGGCGCCGAGCGGCTCAACTCTCTTGGAATGCGGGTTTTAGCATCATTGACACCCTATGCCTTATGGGGTCTGGCAGCGGATCCCGGCTCCCATTTGATAAGCGGCGGCGTGGGAGGCATCCTGCACCTGTTCCAGGCAGGAGTTGTCTTGGAACGGTCGGAACTCACTGCTCTGGTTTCGGCTGGTGGCAAACTGCCCGCCAACCCTCTGGAGATTCCGCCAGCGACACGGCCGGGTGAGGAGACACGGCCGGGTGAGGAGACACGGCCGGGTGTGGAGACACGGCCGGGTGAGGAAACACGGCCGGGTGAGGAAACACGGCCGGGTGTGGAGACATGGTCGGGTGTGGAGACACGGCGGGGTGTGGAGAAGTCGTCGTTCAGTACCTCTTCGGCGACGGTGGACCCCACCGGGGCCTCGTTAACCTTGTTGGGTGCTCACAAAATCATTGAGCAGTCAATTCGACAGAAGAACAAGCTGCTGGTTTCGCAAACACGATTGTGCCACAATAAGATTGCGGTGTTGTGTGAAGACGGGCAATTGTGTGTCTATTCGTATGGGTACGGACGCATGGACGGACTGCACCTGATCGGCAAGACCAAAAATAAACAAGTCGTGGACTTCCAATTCGCTGATGATGGCGCTCTACTGGTTGTCATGACAAACCGTGGGAAACTTTTGGTATACTCTGCACAGCCTGAGGAAGGCAGCCAGTTCATGCTGGAGACCGCTACATGCGCTCCGGGAATTGTCGCGCCAGTATTACTCAACAGCAACGCCAACCACTGGTACCCACTCCACGAGTGCGAACTCCCGAGCAACCACCTACGACCTCGATACCTACTCGTAACACGAGTCCGGAAGGGCAAGTCCGCAGGCGACTCCAAGCCTATGACAGACGGCTACCTTTCGGGCATGGGCAACTCTCTGGCTGCTAGTAACCCTCTAGGTCCGAGTAATCCTAACAATCTTGGTGCTAGTAATCCTGTGGGTACTACTAGTAGCCTAATGGGTGCTAACAACCCAATGGGTGCTAGTAACCCTGTTGGAAAAGCCCCTGTGGGGGCGACTTGGCGACGCGGTAACTACGCAGATGGGCAACTGACAACCGACACCTACGAAATTGTAGTTGTCGGGATGGACACGGACCGGCCCAAAACAGCAGTCGTCATGAAGATGAATGCAAATATGAACAGGACTATGTTCGCTTGGTCAAAGGAACCTTTTCGGACGCGATACCTGAAGCACCTGGAATCAGTTTCTGCTCTTACCTATGACCAGGACGTCATAGCTTTATGCGGGAACCAGAGGTTCTCTATCTTGAGTCTCAGAGACCTAAGCACTATTACCACCATAGAGAGAGACAGCAACAGCTTACCAATCACCGCTGCTACGATCACTGATGAGAAACTTCTTGTGGTGGGAGCCGCAGACTATTCCCTCATTGTTGTTGCACTACCACCCTCTCTATCCGGCTACAGATTCGGCTTCCTTAATCTATCTCCTCGTATTTTACTCTACCTAGCTGTACTCCTTAAAATAGCACTACTTACGGCATGTGTTGCTTTGTGTTTATAACACATCTATCTTGTGTTTATAGCACATCTATCGTGTGTTTGTCGCAAAAAAAAGATCCCTACGAACAAAGATCTCTGAGAACATCGCAAAACCCGTTTCTGCGTCCGGCTTCCTGCCATTTCCGTAGCTTGTCGTATGTTGGTAGCTCCCGGTTTTCGTTAATCCAAATGTACTTGAAGGTTTCCGGTGCTCCGGTGTGATTCACGGTATTCGCCAATATACTTGTGTCCACCAAACAGGTGTTTCCTCGCTGACGTTTGGAGAAGGGCTTGCTGGAAGTTCGTTTCATAACACCTCGAAGCTTATCCATCGCTTCCAGGGGTAGCTGTTTGATCGCCACGGCGCGCTTCATCGCTGATTGAGGATTTTACAAAATGTGCTATCCCGATCCTATTCCGAGGCATGAGGTATTGCCGCTTAAAACAGTAACAAATATCGGGGCTTTCCGGACGCAGCCGCTTTTGATGGTCGGATTGTGAGTCATGAGCCTCCAAGGCATCGTAAAATACGGCCGATTCAATATCCATCGTCGCAGCGCACACGCGTGCGCGCGCGTTTGCAAGCATTTAATTTCGTAAGAGTGGTCTCCAAACTAATGACAACTGGTCATTAGACGAACCTGGACGTACGAGGACTTTGCAATTGAGGCAGGATTAATATACTACTCACGGAACATTGATTCGGTAAGTATGTTATACAAAGAGTCAAGCCATGCGGTTGCAGTGGATATTGGAAAAAGATTATACGGAGAGAGAGCAGTTAGCTACGGATCTGGAGACTTGATCTTTCGAGGACATCACATTTAAAGATTTTACTAATTGTCGGGTGAACTGGCACATTATCCGGGAATGGTTGTGAAATTGGGAGGAGCATTCTGCAACATCCGGGAGATAAATACTTCGGCTGAGCTGCAGCGGTACTTCAATGATTTTACGATATATAATGTGGCGGTTGACTTTACAGACCCCGACCACCCTCAGGTGTACATGCACCATACGCCGGGCGAGCTATGTCACGCGTTAATTCAAATGCTGCCGACCTTGAGCGAGCAGGCCCGGATATATCTTCATGATTATAGTGAATTTGAGCTGAATGAGATGGTCCGGGATGAGAATACAGCGCAGGTCCAGCTTGACATCATGCGATTGAGAGCCAAGATACTAGGATTGATCAAGGATGACAAAAAATAGGCGCCTTTTCTATGACATGCATCGCGTCACTTGTATAAAAAGTGTCCTTTTTATGTGCAGTAAGGCAGTTCGTCCTCGCCATCTGCAGAGCAATTGCACTTACACGTTTTTCCGTCGGTGTTTCCACCCGTGCTACACTCACCCACCTTGTTCCAGAGACCAGTCAGTTTGTCTGGTGACGTGCCGGACGTGCAGCTGTACAAAGCGCCGTTGTATGCCACCTGTCCGGAGGGGCATTGGACGGAGCTCGAAGACCAAGCGGTGTAGCCTGAACAGGCCGGTTGGGCATGGGCCATGCCAGCCCACGCCAGCAATACCCCAAATTTCATGATATGCACCTCCCTCGCATGTGAGGTGTTGTGTGGGTCTAGATGAAGAAGACGGGTCTAGATGAAGAAGAAAAGCTAGTTGTTGTTGGCTAGGTCAACTTGGATGGCTAGCTGTGCGAGTTCGCGTTCTCGGGACTCCATCAGCGCCTCTTGGACGACGAGATCCCTGGCAACTCTGTGTTCGAGTGAGGGTGCGCAGAGCATCTTGATGGCGTCGGTATATGCTGATGAGAGAAGTGTGACCTTGATGGGGGTGAGTAGGTCCTTGTTGTCAAGTTCGTTGACCTTTTTGGTGAACTGGGCCTTGTCGAGCTCCCCGGTTTCGAGTTGATGGCGTAGGCTGAACCATTGGGGCGATAGCAGAAAGGCCTTGAATGGCATCCTGCCTATGGTGGCGAGATATGAGTCGAATGAAAGAAGCACCGAGTTAGGGTCATAAGTGTGGCAGCGGTCCCAGAGCTCTTCCAATATATCTTTATGGTTACTATTGTTGGTGACCCAGATGCCAATGGGTTGTGGGTCACAGTCGACGTATTCCAGCAAGTCCCTCATCTTGCTCTGGTACTTTTCCGCCTCCTTTTTGAGCTTTTCTTCTGCGGCCTCCAGGCTGCTGCCGTCCGTCGGCGTCTGTACAACCACATTGGACCGGAACGCATAGCAGTTGGACACCTCAACTACACCCGGTGATACTTCCAGACCTAGCAGCTCACCACGTATCGTGGCCGATGGGTCCTCCGTCGCAAAGCCAGCTATACGTAATGTCGGCTGCAGCATCAGTCTCAGCTCTAAATCGTAGTTCAAATTACGACCCATCCCGCCAATTTTACAAATTAGCCCAGCCGGCCGGATGAGCCGAAAGCGTAGAACACTGAAACCATGATTGTCAATGAGCCACACAAGAGACAATGGGCCGTATCGGGATCGGGAGATGCCCGAATGTCAACAGGGGGATCAGCACACCAGTCCAGCAACAGCCGGCTCGTTCTGCCAGGCCCACAATTGGGTCTGCAAAAAGGCATTTGCGAACGGCTTTTGGAAGGGCGAACGGGTAGGATGAGGGAAAATTGTGAAAAAGAATGGAGGAGAATCAGTTGTTGGATCACCCGTTGTCGAAGAAGCCCAGGAGTGAGATAAGCTCTAGTTCTGTGCACTACATGTTTGGTTCGATCCTGCAATACTGCATGGCTAGTTCAAATCCTATGGAAAAGCAGTACGAGATAGGACATCGTATCGGCAGTCGAGTACTGCTTCTTTTGACCTTCCGCGACAAGCTGAAGAGGGAGATTAAAGTGGTTAATATTTTGTCTTTCATCTCCCAGCAGTGTTGGCGCATCCTGTTTGGTCGACAAGGCGACCTGTTCAAGTGTGGCGATAATCAAAACGACTATATGCTGACTGACCACAAGTTTATGCTTACCAAGTACTGCCATGAACCCCGAGGCGATTCCTTCATCGACTACGGGGCCTTCGCCGCGGGAATTATCGAAGGCATTCTTTGTGATGCTGAGTTTGTAAGACAACAAATCCCACCACCCCTCCACAGCTCCCTTCGGCATGAATCTGCAACGGTAGCCTGCAACGGTGACGGCACACACGTTGAATCCAGATCCTAAGGACCGGACGGTGACTTTCCTGATAAAGTTTTTCCCTGAAGCTCTCAATCGCGAAACCAAGATGACAGGTTAACTAGCTATTCTTGCTCGAATAAATAGCTATTCTTTCTTGCTGGAAGTCTTGTTCATTTGAGCTAAGATGGTCATGAGTATCTTGTCATTGTTCGGGTCGGATTCGACTGTCCGGATTTCACGGAGCTTGCTCGACTCTAATGTCGCTGCCATGTCCTCCAAATCTTTAACGTCGCCTCCCAACTCATCGTCAATCAAGACCTGCGCGTTCCGTAACCCCAAGCTCTGCAAAGCTGCCTGGAACGATGATGAATCACCTGATGATGTATCCTCAGGCGTCCACCCCACCTCCGTTTTCAACCGCTGGCCTGCGTTTGTGCCAGCTACTTTCGAACTGAAGCTACCCATTGATTTTGCGTCCTTTGCTGACGCATCATCCTGTGCTGATTCACCATCGCCCGAACTTTTTTTGCTCGAATTTCCCTTCTTCGAACTCCCCGTGTTCGGGCTGTCACCTTCCGTGGATGAACCAATCTCGGCGAAAGATGCGACTTGGCTATCAGCCTTAGATTTGCTCTTGGGTTTGCCCGTCGGCTTGCCCGTCGGCTTGCCCGTCGGCTTGCCCGTCGGCTTGCCCGTCGATGAATCACTGCTTGACATCAAGGAGTCAGAATCATGTTCTTCTCCGAGAAATGTGTTATCACCGAGGAATGCGGAAACAGGATCCAGAGGCTTGTGCTTAGTCTTCCGTTCCAGGAAAGATGCTAATCGTATTTTATTAGCCTTGGACGACAAAACCCCGTTTGACTTGTCACCATTCAACATATAATACAATCTCTCTGTCCGGCGCATTAGATCTTCCCAATTGTTCAGTATCGCAGGTTCCGTAAAAAACACTGAATCAACCAAACCAAGTTTCGCAGCCATGTCTTCGTAGCGCCGTAACCTATTCACTAAAGGCTTGATGGATTGCGAATCATGTTTCAAATCTAAAATTGAAGCCTGGAGGAGGAAGCTAAGCGTGGAGGGGAAGCGAGACGTGGAGGGTACTTTGTGTTACTAATTCTGATTTTATGGCTGAACCTGTTTTGGGAATTCCATGTATTGCTATGTTATCCAAAGAGGAATCTCGTCCTAAGAAATTTACTCCAAGTGTATGTCGTAAGTATTTACCGCTTCTGGATGAACCGTCAACTTGAATGTAGCCGTATGCAAGAAAAAGAACTAACAAATTTTTCGAGAACATGACATGCAGCACACGTGTGTGCTAAGGACCGGAAACGCGCTCCGCACTATCCTCGCAGGGAGCAAATCCAATCCAATTCACTATTGCATGTAGCAGCCCGATGTAGATTACCATCCGATCTTAGTCGTTGCAATTTCCGTTCACAGAAATTGCTTGAGTTGATTCCTTTGGAAGTTCCATCTGCCTGGACTTCAACCTGTTTTATTTTGTTTGGGAAAGGAGGAGTCTTGATGGTTACGAGTACTTGCTCTGTTTTTTCCGGCAAGGTAACGTTGGCTTTCTTCGCGAATTCTTCAGCTCGTTTCAAGAGCTTGTTGAATTGTCTATTGAGCCGAAGAGCATCATAATTGGATATGACGCCCCCTTGTTTTGTTCTTGTTTCTGTGGCCCTTTCTCTAAGTTTGCTTATTTCCGCCAGCACGTTAGTGAGTTGGATTCTCGCCTCATCCTCCATGACTAATATTAATCCGGTTGAGTACCACCCCCGTGTAGTTAACCCCCAAGATAAACATGCACAGTCCGTGTAGTTAAACATGCATGCACAGACAGTCATATAGAATTTGTCCTCAGAGACAGCCGTTCTGACGCACTCCTAGGTAGCTTTCACTCCTAAGTCGTGGTATAGCATTAGTTCGTAGGAAGTAAGGTTTCAGGGAGTGACGAAGTTATTGGGTCAATTAAAAATGCCGAGCGGTCGCAAGTCGGCACTGAAAAAACATCAGAAGGGTGGGGGCTTTGGCAAGAGTCTACAGAAGCGAAGTACTGATGTGAATGGCGGCATCGCCTTTCTTAAACCGGATATATCTCGGTTATTGACTCAAGGAGAGAGTGAGAAGAAGTTGACTATCTTGGATTTTATAGACCGAGATGCGGGAGTTTCCGCGTTGGAAATGAACGATTTGGAAGACTACATAGCCACAACTCTTCAACAGCATAACGCCAATGCGGCTCCGCTGGTCATCTGTAACCGGGACGGTAGTTTACTCGACACGGCTACCGCCACCGTTGTCAAAGTTAGGACGGAAGGATTGCAGGCAAGCCAGACATCTCATAACAGGCAGTTCGACCTTCCTATCAGGCCATTTAGATTCCTCGACCCCCTTAACAGAGTTCTTACCTTTGCACAATACTTCGGCAAGTTCCTTACTGAATTTGAAAGGCAACCTACCGAACCCATGCTTTACAACGACCATGACCCTAACGCCGCTTCATCGGATGAGGATGATAACCATGGTGATGATAACCATGATGATGATAACCATGGTGATGATAATCATGGTGATGATAGCAATGACGATGGCAGCAAGGATGACTTCAAGAGAGCCAGCAGTGAAGATGGTAGTGAAGATGGTATCTTACTGCCACCGATTGATTTGTTTCAGGAACCGGTCTGTCTTCGATCGAACAACAAGGACGAGAAGGAAAACGAGCTAGGTCATGAAGAGATTATTGCTGCATTACAGAAGTGTGAAGATATACGTGTTATATATTCGGCGTTCTACCATTATTTTGCGAAGGTCGTAAATTTCGGTCCATTATTGTGTGCGTCAGATTTGCAGAGGGAGGAATTGCGTTCGTTTACTGAGTGGCGACGGGGACTGAGTGAGTGTGAGTTGGAGGAGAAGGTAGTAATTGCGCCTTACGAGAAGAATTTGGAGTACTGGAAACAGTTGTGGAGAACAATTGAGAGATCAGATATTGTATTGGAAATTGTTGACTCACGTAATCCTCTGATATATCGATCTGGTGCATTGGAGAAGTTGATTGAGAGTTATGATAAGAAGGTTATCTTGTGTCTGAATAAGGCGGACTATCTGTCAGCGAATCAGCGTAGAAT